AAAAAAATATGCACATTACACTGATTTTAATTATAATAGTTTTAACACAGTTAATTTCACAGTTAATTTCACTGACGGGCACTGCGTCATTTGGACACTAGTTCCGTTACTCTTCCAAATGGAATTTGCCGCAGTGCAAGGAGGAATATCAAAAAAAAAAAAATCCGGGGTTGCCGTGCCCAAATTATCTGGGCAAGCAAAAACCCAAGAAAATATAACCGGTTAAACTTCAACTTTCCTAATTTTCAATATTTAATATCTCGGAAGCTACTTGACCGATTAGAAAAGTATTGATACCAATTCAAATATAATTGTAATAGCTTTTTTTTGCAACGTATTTACTATAACAATTTTGAAAACAAATTTTTGGTAAACGCTATTAAAAAAAAATATATATACAATTTCGATTTTTACCACTACTTTCGTTAAATTTTGCACTATAACAAACCTTTCTATATAAGGTAATAACTTGTACTTTCTAAATAATATAAATTTCAGTAGCATTAATTATGCAATTTTTTTTTTCAAAAGGTAATTTATTAAAACAGATTTAATTTTTTTTGTTTCTTTGGATTTCTGACTTGAAAAAAAATAAAAAATCTGGAAAATTATGTACATCAACTAACCAATAAACTAATCATCTTTATTTTGTCATCATTAGTTGTCTAATCGGCTATGTAGTTCATAAAATATTGATATTTCAAAGTATCGAAAAAATTTAACTTAACCTCGTATAACCTCAATTTCCCACCCACGCCAAACAACTTTGGTAAGTTAAAATCAGCATGAAAAGCTCCACCAAATTTCACCCCTGGTTTTTCTACAGCTAAAAGGTCGGTATCCTATCATCTGACACTGAAAGTTGACTACAGTCTTTGACATGCACTGCGGTAATGAAAACGCATTTAACATCAAATGGACAGCTGTCAGATGAAGGCAGTGTTTTTGGCGTCAGTGATTCTGACCTAATGAAAACCAGCCTTTAGTACTAAGGAAAACGAAGCTGTCTGCGGGAAAGTGTTTATTAACCAAAAAAAAAAGTGTATTACGCACTTTTTATTCTCACTTCAGAGAGTGATTTTGTGTTTGACCCTTTTACAGGATTTTGCACGAAAAGTATTGGATCAGAACTATTATATCATCCATACATATGTATATTATATGTACATATATTCATGTATATCCATCAGTTATCAACAGACCCCGTTAAAATGATTTCAGTATTTTTTTTTTAATTTTCGTCTTGCTTTTTGATCAATAGACTACTAAACCTATGCCTAAAACCATCTACGAATATCAAAACCAGTTGCAGCCAATCAGATCATACATAAATATGTATGTACATACAAAACCTAAGTAGGTATACATATGTACGTAGGTACACAGCCGTGCCCTGCAAAACGTGGGACTAAGTTTAATACTAGTACAGGACAACGCTACATTGTAGCGAGCACTAGTAACCGAAATGGTCCAAACATATGGAAAAAATATGGTTACATTAACATTGTGATGCCATTGGACCTGACCACCCCTGGTCCAATGCTGCATAACATGGAACCTCTTCTGATCCACCGCT